TTGTCTGTAACTCACTATCATTTGTCTATTTGTTTTCCTGAGAAACTATCTTATAGATAACAATATGTAAAACAATAACCATTGATAATTTCCTACCACTTTGTCTGTAATTTGGTAAGCGCCTCCTATTATTATGTTATCCTTCTTTTACTCTTTAAAATAAAAAAAATAAAAAAATTTTAAAATGAACGACAAAAAAGAACAAAACTCAAGTCACCAAAGAACTCAAAAACAAAACAAAGCTCAGCCATATTTGCAGGTTTGCTTTGTAATACATAACCCACAATGTGACCTAGCCAGAGAACAATTATTATTATTAAGCCTCTTTATGTCACCCACTACAGGGTTTCAAAGGTGAGATTACAGAGAGGGAGCACATTCTCAAACGCCTTCTACGTCCTCTCCAGGCCTCAGAGACAGGTCTAGACTAGGAGACGAGAGGGCTATTAGTAACCGTGGTAGGACGGCTACCAGGAAAGGATACTTCTCACGAGCCACTTGAGTTTCTGGGTCTCTTTCCTGCCAATCTCTATCTCAAAAGAGCTTTCCACAGCTGGATTTGAACTTCTTCCTAACAGCTCCCTTCACTATTCCTACCCCAGCCAACAGTCTTGCAGTTTCTTTGTCTTAACCCTCTGACAACCAAGGCTTCTCACAGACGTGGGGTAGAAAGAGAAGGAATTTTTGGTAGAATGGCAGGAAACAAATTAAGTGTCTCTATGACAAAAAACTGTCCACCCTCTCTGATCTGGAGGACACAATGTCCCTGAGGCCATGGTCCTTTCTAGAATAAACCTATAGTGTGTGTAAACACGCAAACAGCATGACAGACTGAAAGGTCGAGCTCCAACTGCTCGGGCTGCATCAGACAAAGCTAACAGGACAAACAGGATGTGCTTTTATAATTAAAAAGAGGACATCATATAAAGATAACAAAAAAAACCCACCATATTTTCTGAATCAACTTCTTTATTTGACCTGATCCCCTTTTAATCCAAGGTTCAGAGCACTGGCTAAAATTTGCAAGACTTGTTGAACACTGTAAGGGACAGACACATTGGCAGAGTCTCCTACAAAGGCGTTCTGAGGCCTAATTACTATCACACACATGTAGACACAGAAGCTTAAGTCTTCATGAAGTGCCTGGCTTAAATGGAGAAAAAAATGAGACCCTGCCATAGGATTAAAATGACACCATAATCTTCAAAGGTAGTATTTCAATTTGTTAAGATGACAACTTCTCATCCAGATCAGAGAAGCCAAGCTGGAACACTAGAGAGAATCCATACGTGAAGTTGTTTGGATACACAGTCAGACTAGGTACTTATGTCAGCGTTGCGACTCACACATCCAACCCCCGAACAGAAAGTGAAAACATGTATACATGTGTACACACACACACACACACACACACAGATGGTGCTGTTGAAAAACAAGGAATTCACATCCATCAGAAACACACAATTCTGCCTTGAAGCAGAAATCTTAATCAGGTTATAAATCGCTCTCCTATTACTAGACACACAGTCACTTAATCAAGGGCTGAGCCCTAAGTAACAAAATGTGACTCATGTGCTCAGATTTTTAAAATTCTTTCTTCAGAAGAAAAATGAACATCTAACCAAGCCAGCATCTGAGTCTGTAGTTTCAAAGAAGGAAAAGAAAAAAATGTATTTATCGTGTCACAGGAAAGAAGGCGGGCGGGCAAGCACGCCAAGTCTGTACTCGGACCCATGTGGGAAAAGGAAACACTACTTCTCACTTCCAGCCACACCATCCCCCGCTAGAGAAGGCTCTCTGAACCGTTCGGCCGTCCATGTCTGGCACTTGTGTGACACACAGGGTAAGGACAGGTGAAACAGGACATCTTTGCAGTGACCAGATGCTAGAATAAGAGGAACTGGTAGATAGTAGACAGTGATTAAAAAAAAAAATAACTGTCATAAACAGAGTAGCACATCCACAGACCTCATCAACTCCAAGACCCAATGACGACAGCTGAAACGATTATTTTCAAAGACAAAAGTACGATGATATATTGAGCACCTCTTCTGCACGGGGAACTTACTTTCATTTCATTTAACCCTCACAGCTACTTTCTCAGGCAGGTACTAACGTTCCTCTTCGAGGCAGAAAGACACTCTTAGAAGCTCTGTAAGTCACAGCACTGTGCCGCTTCACACAGCTGCGATGATGCAACACGGCTGAAAGGTGCAGCCTGGCGAGGTGGCCATCGCCAGCTTGAGAGTCAGACTCCGCTACCTCACCTCTCACCTACCTGAGTAGCGCTGGTCAGGTGCTACTGAAACAGCAGATGCCGTGTGGCTTTTCCTACAGTCACTGCCTACGTTTGGGAAGCCATGCTTCCCATTGATAATGCAAAGCGGCTGGACCTACCCCACAGAACGGCCGGGACCTGCCACGGTCTCTGGCACCAAAAAAGTTTCTTTTCCCCATCTACTCTAGAGAACAGAAATAGTGCAGTCATTGAGAAGGAAAATACCTCCATGGGGTAAGTAGGGAAATGTTTCAAAGGGATCATGGCTTAGCAGTAAACTGGACGCTTAACACACGAGATCCTGGGTTTAAAACAAGAACAATAAAACAAAAAGATCAAGGGATTGGCCTTGATCTGAGCACATTTTGAAAGTGCACTTTAAGGGAGCAGCCCTCTGTTGAAACATGCGGGTGGGACGACTCACAGAAAGCCTTATTTATGGAGGGGCTGTACACTTACACCAGTAATGGGGAGCCCTTCAGAGCATCCAGTGATAACAAACAGCCTGCTGCAGCACGCACCCCATAGGTGCCACCACTGACCTACACCCACCAGCCAGCACTTACACAAGAGCAATCTTCTATCTACCCCTGCGCGAAGAGGTCCCGAGCAGAATTTCACCTTGGCCTAACTATCACATACCTTTTCTCCAACTATCATTCGGTACCATGATAAGCACCGTTATGAAAAAGAGAGCCTGCTGAATACATTTACAGAAGATGCTGTGAAACTGAAGTGCACAGGAACCTATTTTCTGTTACAGTGTACTCTCAGCAACCGTCATCTCTCTTATTTTCCCTCACAGCAAGAAATGGGTTCATTGAGTATTCCTGATGATCCAAGTTATTTGTGAGTTCGTGGTAACTGACTGAAATTCAGTTGTAACTCAATTTACAAAGTAGCTGAATCCAGCAACACTGTGTTAAAGTGAACAATCAACAAGCACATCAGCGGAAAGGTATCAGCATGGGACAGCATTCTACCTGAGTAGTGCTATTATCTGATACAGGAAAGTAAAGGGTGGGCAGCGGGTGAGATAGGAAGACTGCAAGTTCAGCGCCAGCCTGGGCAACTGAGCAAGCCCATGTCTCAAAATAAAATTAAAAATAGGAGCCAGGCATGGTGGCACACTCCTATAACCCCAAGACTTGGGAGGCTGAGGCAGGACGGCTGGTAGTTCAAGCCAGCCTGGAGTATGTAGTGAGTTTAGGCTGGCCTGAATTACACAGTGAGGCCCTGACTCTAAATTAATTAATTAATTAAAAGTAAAGTTAAAAATAGGGGTAAGATGTAGCTCAGTATTTGCCTCACAGGCAGGATAACTTGGGTTCAATCCCAGGACTGAAAAGAAGACTGCTCTTCTATAACTGGCAAAATGATAAATTCACATTATTTCCAAAAACAAAACCTCTAGAATTTTAAACATTCCATGTAGCATCTCCAACAGCTAGAGTTAGTACTCCTTAAAACAAGGCGCCCCTTTAGGAGCAAAGGCAACCTTGGAGGAGTCCCAGCCCACCTGCTGCTTGGCGCAGCACTGCTATTTAAAAGGCCAGTATTAAATGTGCCCTGCCTCAGAGTCTAGAGTCTGCAACCAGAAATCCGGAAAAGGGTGGAGACATTCTATACACCATTAAGATAAATTTAGATCATGCATCCTGAATCTGTTCCTTAATGTGTATGTGAGATATGACACTTTCTAGGTATTAAATTTCTAGTCCTGATCATTAAGTTGGGAGAACTATGAACTGAACTACCCAGAGAACAAATATAAAACAAAATAAATCATGAATCACTTCTTATTAACAAAGTCAGACTTATTCTTCCCTTTAGCTGATGCCTGACAACAATGGACAACCAATCAATGGATTATCTGTGGGTGGGGGGGGTATCACAGGAATGCTCTACTTGCAAGCAACTAGCACCTAGACATCTTTTGCCAAAGCCTGTGACTGGCTTCTGCATGAACAGATTGGTTACCAAGAAAACCCTGTGAGGGAAAATCTGCTCAGGGCAGGCTTAGGTTTCTATACTCCTGCTCTTCTGTCAAATTAGCTCTAGTGACTTATCATCCACACTTAAGCCTTCCTTAAGAGTTTGCCATTTAGCACTGTGGATGTTCTTTCCTATGCATTATATTTCCATAGCAATTCAAACTATCACCAGGCCACTGCTTTTCTTACTGGTATGAGTAAAGTATAGGTGTACTCTTGATTCAAAAACGACTTGTCACAGAAATTGTTCTCTGGTGTCCTGCTTTCCAAAATGTAACTATCAAAACGCCAAGAATATGAGCTTTGGTGAAGGGAATTTGTTCAGTTTTTACTAAAATTGAACTTTAAACTATAAACATTCATTTAACATGAATTTTTATACTGCTTCAAGTCTCAAAAGAGAATGTTACTATCCCCAAGGACTAAATCACTTGTCTCTTTTAGGAGTTATCAGAATACCATTATGCTGAAAGTGACAGTCTGGCTCTGTTCTGTTTGTTAATGCAGCCCAGATTTGCAGGCCAACTGCAACTGGCTGTAAGTCCTTATCACAAATAAAACCACTTTTTGTGCCATTTCTATTTTTCACTTAAACGTCATCAGCTCTTCAAGACTCAGGACCTGTCAAGTGTTCTGCTGCCAAGACTCTGCTTGTCAGAAAGGTCAGCATCCAGTACCTTCCAGTTGGGTCCCAAAGGGCCTCTCTTGGTCTTGACTGACTGGAACAATGCTGGGTCTTCATTAGCTTTGTAGTCCTGTAAAGCAAAACAAAGTCAGAGGCAGAGAAAAAAAAGCAGACAACATTCTTTAACCTTGCCAGAACGGCTCTTTGCAGCTACCAAAACCCATGATAGAAACTGATTAAAATGTACTGTGCTTTAGCATACAAGTAGGACAATGCTTCTATTAGACATTACATTTTCAGTTTTGTTCCCTTTGCTTTAAGGTTTTATCTTATGCAAAGAAAAAAAATCTGTGTAGTAAATAATAAAAGCCTTGTCTAGCAACCCACTATGACTAGTTACTAGACAGTTATCTCCGAAAATGTGTCTGCCAACATTGCCCACGGTTTGAGCATTTTCATAGGCAGAGAACAACATTCAAGAAATAAAATGCACCATTCTCACTTCTGGCAATCCCTGTAGACAAAGACCCTGGGATATTAATGCCCGCACAGAGCAGCCACCGTGACTGGGAACACATAAAACTGACTGTGGCTTCCCCTTCTCTTCCATGATGTGTGGGAGAAACTTAAAAAGTCCTTGATCTACCCTTCTAATCCTGGTCCAAAGAAGGCTACAGAAAACCCCTATGCCTCATGGAAGAGGGGCTGCATTCACGCTGACCCCTTACTGTCCAAGCAGGCAACCAGAGAGTGTCACGGGATGGCTTCAGCTACCTTATGACACAGAGGAATGGCCCTAAAGGCTGTGTTTCTTCCAAGGTTCCAGTGCAGTGATGGCGAACCCTTTAGAGCTTTCAATGATAACCAACCTCCCACTGCAGCATGCACGCCGTAGGTCTGCGACCACTGTTCTAGTGCACGTAGGTTCTATTCCCCTTAATATCCTTCTCCTGACAGGATGAAGGAAACAAAAATATTTTTAACCTATCTGCTTTATAAAAATCCTCTTTCATTATATGTACATATTCTATAGATAGAAATAAAAAATTACTTTTCAAGTGCCAAAAAAAATTGAGTTGTAGTAACAATAGAGGTCACTGGGTCAGTTTAGAATGTGGCAGAGAGAGGTGGAAGAAGGGGAGGCGGAGGGGGAGGGAGGGGAGGGGGAGGGACCCTTCCTTTTAAAGCCGAGTTTGTGGAACGGGTTCTTTGCATTTGTCAAGGAACCACATACTTGAGGGAAATCCCCAGGCAAGTCGGATATGAAACTCCAGCAAAAAAAAAGCACTATTCTGGAGATCAGGGCAGTTCAAGCACAAAGCACACATGGAACATGCTCTCAAGTATAATACAAACTTTCCAAATCAAAGAAAACATGTTGAGAAGCACTTGAGACTCAACAGTTATTCAGTAAACGCATATGGCATGTTAATTCCTAGGGAGAAAGTTATAAATAAATTATGTGAAGAAGAAAAGATGTGAGATCCAGGAAGAAAAAACTTTTAAGAAAGGTAATTGGGTAAATATGTGACCTTGAACTTGAAGGCTGTCTAAAGGTTGTCTAAGAAGCTACAGAAAGGCCCCACAAAATACTGCAGTTTCTCTTATACAAGAAAAAATATATATAAATAATAAAAGTTAGGTAATAGGAAGTAGGGAGATAAATCTTTTTCAAATGAGAAGGGGATCAAGAGCTGGAGGGAGGGGGTAGGGCAGGGAGGGAAAGAAAAGAAAAAGAAAAAAAGGGAGGGGGAGATGGATAGATGGATAGCCAGGAAGGGAGGGAGGGAGGGGAAGAAGACATAAAAAGAATTAAAATGTCTTATGTACACGGACCAACTCCCCACAAGGAATGCAATCATTATGTACTGTGAGCATGTACTAATGAAAATAAAAATAAAATAAAAAAAACAGGCCCCACAATGAGCTATAATTATTAAACAAGCAAAATTACTTGGCTACACTGGGCTTTAATGTTTTAAAATATAGAGTCCGCCAAAATAATGTATATACACTTCAGCATACTAATAAATGTCTGGAAGCTGATGTGCACCACTTTGAGCCCTTCTTATAATTGCAGAGTCCAAAGGTAACTTGTACTAATCTCATAATGTCTCAATACGTTCAGTATTGAAGTATCTATACAAATTTTTCTTTTCCTTATGTACACATTTTTGGGGCAGAGTCTGTATATAATGTGATATAGCCATGGGTACTAGGTCAGGCAGCAGCACCCAGAAATGACAGGCTGAGATGAAACTGCCTGCAAAAAGCTAGACAACTGGCATTCCTTCCTACGTCTGGGCACATCAGCATAAAGTTCATTTACAGCCAGTTAGTATGCACCCTTAAACTCCAGCTCAGAACTGCGTCCTAAAAATTCACTTCTAACTGAGGAAAGAATGAATTGCAAGATCTCAAGACTAGGATTCACAATGAGAAGCAACCCACTCTGCTTTTATTCTATGTTAAAGGCTTGAAATAAAAGTCCAAAGACAGGCTCACTTTTCCCTCAAATTAAAAATCAGCATCACATAAAATAATCACCTTCAGCATCACCTCCTCAACCAAAATCTACTGAACACCACCATGCAGAAGACAGCCTGCAGGTTAAGAGGTAGACTACGGGGTCAGGCGGTGAGAAGAAGCAACACATAGTTCAGGCTCCACAAAAAGTTGGGAGAAGGAGAGGCAAACAAAAGAATAAATAAAACCCCAGGAGTGTTAACAGCCAGCGGGGGAATGGAGAGAACTATAGTCAGAATTGAAATCAGTCAAGAAAAAGCATTTTTAAAGTGAATTTAAAATCACACTTAAAAGTAGAAAAAAATCATCATTAAGGTGCATTATGTCTAAAATATTTTAATGCTTAAATTTTAATTATCAGTGCAAAACTCATACCCTGGTCAATGTTCACCACTTTACTGCATCACAGGGGAGAATCCTCTCTCCCCCGTTCCCTGCTGACTGGGGTGTGACGCTGCCATGGAACGGCACTCGTGTTCCTGTGCTTTATTTTTGGTTTTCACAAAACCTAAGCTGTTATGAAACTTAGATGAACTGAACAATAAATAGCCATCATTTATATAGAATGTTCCATTATTTTCCGTAGCATGAAAAAAATATTTAGCCAATGAAACCTTGTAACTGGGAGATTATGAATATATTAAAATATGAAGGGGAAAGAAGGTAAGTAGAATTTTAGAACTGACATACCATGCACAGAGCGTAGAATCACTGTGAATTTTAAACTTGCCCACCCCAAGAGAAAAAAAAAAACCACAAAAGACAAAAATGCACACAATTACCATTATAGCTAAAATAATAAAACTGGTAACATTATATAGTAAGGGCGGTACACAACCAAAACCAAAATTATTTAGAAAGAGAATCGGATCTAAATTATGGCCAGCAGAAATTCTTCTCCTGTAAGAGTGAATTAATTAAGGGAGCAACTTGCCCCGGAACACAGGCCAAAGCATGATGTGGCACCTGTAAAGGTTACAAAGCAAGTGAAGAGACCAGGAGAACTTCTCTGCCAACACTCCTCCCTCCTAACCCAGCTCCCCACCGTGACGACTTCAGGAACTTCCAGTACCTCTCTGACATAGATTAAGTAAGAAGGGAGAACGACATTGCAAAGCTTCTCCATTCTGGACCTAATAAACCATTCCAGAAAGTATCTTTTCAAATCTTCATTATCAGTGGTAGTGATCAGCGAGACAATTTTCTGAAACTATGGACTGCAGAAGCTCAGAGGTGAACCTTAAAAACCACCCAGCTCCCTTCACTTGACCAATGAGGAAACCAGTCCAAGGAGGTGGTAGTACAGCTTCCTACCCTAGGAATTCAACTCAGACTTCCTTAGCCTCTGTCCAGGACTCACTCTGACAGAGCGCATAGGATGATGGCAAAAGGTGTCAACAAATTCCAGACAATCAAAACACAGTATCATTTCAAAGGCACCAAGAGGCCACACCACTATAGGTATCAGCGTGACTCTTCCTATGAGGCAGATATATACAGGAAACTAAGTCTTCGCCTCTTGAATACAAAGCTGCAAACACTAAAGATATCATACCGAAAATGTAAAAAACCCAATTATTAACAGTATCACTTTAACCCTGACAGATGAGAATAATGCATCTTGTCAAAACTTAGGAATTTTGGTGTTTTTATGTTAGTCTGAATACGTAAATGTTTAATCAGCTGAATTAAGTAGCAAGATACTAAAAAGCAGGAAGCAGACGCAGTTTTAACAACCTCAGTTTTGCATCCCTACGATAAACACAATTTTTTGTAACAGTATCTTCTTTGCTGCAGTTTTACTGTTGGGTATCTAGTTTGGTCTTTCTGTATTTGAAAACTAGCCGATTTTTATCGGTATCACAATGAACAAATATATTCCTTCATGTATGACAGTTTCAGCATACAGAATGCAACCTCAGCTACCAATTATAGCTGCAAATGAGCAATAGTGTGGAATGAGACAGCCTGCTGGCTTTGTTAGTATTCTGTCTCCTCTGGGGTCCCATGGGGAGAGGGGAGGCTCTGATGAAGAGAAGCCCTTGGCTCATGGTGTATTGTGCTTGCCACCAGCTGCAGACTTCTCATCTCATTAGTTCTTTTAGAATACTGTGGGTGAAGACAGCTGTAGCCTACTTGAGTCTTCAGCTCCTGGGTATTCTGAAGGCTGAATTTGCTATGCACTTTCTGTAATCCTTGGGAAAAAAGAAAGCAAATTCACTAGGCCAAGGAAATGCATTTTTAAAATGAATTTTAAAATCATTTTTAAAAGTAGAAAAATTTTATTGTTAAGGTGCATTGAGTTTAAAGTTTTTCATGATCCAATTTTAATTATCTGTATAATGCCCAGAGGCCTGGCCAGAATAAGGGCTTAGTACAACCATCATTATCAAGTTAGGTGTAATGTCCCCAGACACCACTTGCTTCGCCAGTAACAGTGTTTGAACAACATAAAAATACAACAATATCAGCATAAAGTAGATTCAGATTAGTGTGAATACAACTCTATTTAATTGAAGACTCTTATTTAAGTAAAAATGAAGGCAAGTGAAAGTCACTACATTCTTTGGAGAATAAAATAAAATATAATACGGTAAATAAATG